GAACCCTTAGCTAATGTGAAAACTGCTTTCTTTATTTTTTCAAGCGAAGAATCTCTTCAAAGAAATGGTTCTTTGTCTTCTCTTCAGTCTTCTCAGTCTTTGTCTAAATCTCAGTCCACCACTTTCAACATCTGATCGATTTAATAAAAGATCGAATTCTAATAACTCTAATAGAAGTAAAAATCAATCTGTTATGTGTATGAATTATGGAATTAAAGGTCATACCATAGAAAAGTGTTACAAACCAATTGGTTACCCTAAGGACTTCAAGCCAATGAATGAGTCTAATAATCATAATATTTTTAATAAGAATTTCTCTGCCAATTCTACTACCAATACTTCTGGAAGTACAAATACTTCTAATCTTTGTGATTCTGTTGGAGATTCTAAGTTTCATCAGCTTACTAAGGAACAATACATAAAATTTTTACAACTTATTGGTGATAGGCAAGTTAATGAGGAAGCATGTGCTAGTGCTAATATGACATGTACTTGCTTGTTTCAAGACTTTAATTCATCTGTTAATTTTCAAAAATGGATTGTTGACTCAGGAGCTAATCAACATATGATTACTTCCGAGTCCCTTCTTTATGACACTGTGGATGTGTCTAAGCTAGATCTTCTTGTTAGCCATCCTAATGGTACTTCAACTAAAATTGAGAAAATTGGGAATATTAATTTATCTAATTCTTTAACTTTGTTTGATGTTTTTATTGTTCCTGACTTTAATGTAAACTTGTTATCTATCCATAAAGTCTGTAAAGATAGTAATTGTGATGTTATTTTTAATGAACATAGTTGCAAAATTCAAGGTTTACAATCAAAGCAGATGGTGGGGAATGGTAGAGAATCTGGATGTCTCTATTACATAAATAGTGTACCTTCAGGTAATTCTTCTAGTGTTAATAACTCTTCTTCTATTTTTTGCGTGTCAAAATTAACTTGGCACAATAGACTTGGTCATCCCTCTAATCAAGCTTTGGGTTCTTTAAAAAGCAAACTTAAATTTTGTAATGAAGTGCTTCGACCTTGTGATATATGTCATAAAGCTAAACAAACAAGAGAATCTTTCCCTATTAGTCAACATACTACATCCAAACTTGGTGAGTTAGTTCATCTAGATGTCTGGGGACCTTATAGAGTTACAACCACATAACGATTTAGGTATTTTTTGACCATTGTGGATGATTACACTAGAGAAACTTGGGTATATCTAAAAAATAAAAAGATGAAGTTTATGATTGTGTTTTATTTTCTTTAATATTTTGCTTAATCAGTTTGGTGTTAAAATCAAAACTGTTAGGTCAGATAATGGAACTGAGTTTTTGAATCATAGAATGAGACAATTAATGGAGTCAAAATGTATTTTGCATCAAACATCCTGTGTTCATACTCCACAACAAAATGGAGTTGTGGAGAGGAAACTCAGGCATATTTTAAATGTTGCTAGGTCTTTAATGTTCTAATATGGTTTACCTCTTAAATACTAGGGAGAAGCAATTTTAACTTCTGTATTTTTTATTAATAGAACTCCTATATCTGTGTTTAAATGGTGCTTCTCCTTATGAGCTTGTTTATAATAATGCTCATGTTTTTGATAAACTTAGGGTTTTTGGTTGTTTGTGCTTTGCAACTAAATTGAATAATTCTAATAAGTTTTCTGAAAGAGCTGATAAGTGCATATTTCTTTTTTACTCTTCTGATAAAAAAAGGTTATAAAGTTCTTAGTCTTGATTCAAATCTTGTTTTTGTTTCCAGGGATATAAAATTTTATGAATCAGTGTTTCCTTTCAAGCTAAGGTCTTCATCTTTGACTGATAAATTTAATGTCCCTTTAAGTGATTTCTATTCCTATGATGAGTCATTGCATTCTAGTAATGTTCTTGATAATACTAATTTAGAGAATTTTAGAAGTGTCCATCAGTCGGCTGGTGCTAGTGCAGAACAGGACTTGGATGAGACTTGTCCTTCTGATGTCAGCAACCAGACTGGTGAGGCACATGTGCCTTCTTCTAGTGTGATGTTTCCAAGTTCATCTACTTTGACTGAAGAAAATAATTCAATTAATACTAATCCTTCTGATGGTCAGTCTTCTAGGGTCACTAGGTCTGGACGTAATGTTTACATGCCAATTAGGTTTAGTGATTATGTTGTGGAGGGAAAACACAAATATGGTATTGAAAGGCCTGTTAACTATTCAACTCTTAATAGTGAAAATCTTTGTTTGTTGATAATCTTAATAAAACTGTTGAACCTAAAAGTTATAATGAGGCTGATTTAGATCCAAATTAGATAAAAGTTATGAATGAGGAAATAGAAGCTCTCTATAGAAATAACACTTGGGAAATCATTATTCTTCTTAAAGGAAGAAAGGCTATTGGTTGTAGTTAGATTTATAAGATTAAATATAAATCAAACGATGAAATAGAAAGGCATAAGGCTAGGTTGGTTGCTAAAGGGTATAGTCAAAGAGAAGGGATAGATTATGAGGAGACGTTCTCTCCAGTTGCTAAAATTGTTACTGTTAGAATTTGTCTTTCTTTGGCTATTCATCATTCTTGTCCTTTATATCAACTTGACATAAACAATGCTTTTTATATGGTGATTTATCTGAAAGTGTGTACATGCAACTTCCTGAAGGATATCATTCTAAGAATGATGTCAGAGTTTGTAAATTAATTAAGTCTCTTTATGGACTTAAGCAAGCTCACAGGAAGTGGAATGAGAAATTAAGTTGTTCACTTTCTTCATTTGGTTTTAAACAAAGTATTAATGATTACTCCTTGTTTTTTTAAAGAAGTTAAAAATACTATTGTCATTCTATTAGTTTATGTGGATGATATTATTATCACTGGCAATTGCAAGATTGAATTAGAAATGTTAAGAGTTTTTTAAAGTCATAATTTTTAATTAATGTTTTAGGATAGTTAAAATATTTTATAAGAATTGAGGTAATAAAAACAGATAAAGGAATTTGTCTTAATCAAAGAAAGTATTGTTTGGAATTATTGCATTAGTTTGAGATATTGGCTTGTAAACCTGTTAAGACTCCTTTGGAAGCTAATCTTGTTATTAAAAAGAATGTGATTTAGATAGTTCTGACTTTGTGGTAAATATTACAGAATTTTAGAAATTGATTGGTAAACTGATTTACCTGACTATGATTCCTCCTGATATCTCATATGCAGTTCAAATTTTAAGTCAATATATGCACACACCTTATAAGTCACATTTAAACATAAATTTTAGACTATTGAGATATTTGAAAGATAGTCCAGGAAAAGATGTTCATATAACTAAAAATGATTCTCTTAGTCTTGTGGGTTTTGTTGATGCGGATTGGGCTAAATGCCTGTTCAGTAGAAGGTCTGTTATATGATATCTTGTTTATTTTGCTGCTTCACTTGTATCATGGAAAAGCAAGAAACAAAGTATTGTTTCTCGTTCTTCCATTGAGGCTGAATATAAAGCTTTAGGCTCTATAACCTGTGAAATTGTTTGGATTTTAAAATTACTGTTTGATTTGAGTATAAAAGGTTTAACTCCAGTAAATGTTTTTTGTGATAATGAATCTGCTATTAAACTAGTGTTAAATCCTGTTTTGTCATGAGAAATGTAAACATTTTGAGGTAGATCCTCATTTTGTTAGAGAAAAAGTTGAAAATGGTGTTTTAAAAGTTAATAAAATTGATTCTTTAAATCAAAATGCTATGTTTTAACCAAAGCTCTTGGATTTGCTCAACATGAATATATTTCGAATAGACTTGGTTTAATAGATGTTTTTAAAAAATAAATATTTGAATTAATGTTCAGTTTATTGGGGGGGGGGGGGGGGGGGGGGGGGGGGTTGAAAATATACTCTTGATCTTTCAAACTGAAATTAATTTGTATATTGGGTGTATTGTGTAAATATGTAGATTCTGTGTGGGTTAGGTTGTAATTTATTCAGGTGTGTCGGGTTTGCACGTGGGTCTTCGGATGCTCCATGGAGCTCTGTATGATTCGGGTTTACTCGATCTATATAATGTTGATGAAGAGATATTTTGCCTCATTTAGTCGTTCACATCTCTTCTAATTTTCTCTCTGAGTACTATACTTAGGCTTTGAGTTAGGGTTTGTAGATTGGAAGCTTGTTCTTATAATTTAATCTTGTTTCCGATATATGTTAGAGTGTGAGTGATTGTTTCTAGTGAGATTTTCTGTTGTATTCTGTATACATAAATCATATGTTTCAAAATGAATGAAATGATGATGTTGGGAAAATTTTGAGTTGCTTACGTTTTTAAGAGTTTTCCATTGTGTTGGTAGCATATATGATTTATTTGACGGTACCAATTACACATGCTTCCACATAAAAAAAATTCAAAATTAAATTTATTGAATTCATATATTCGAAATATCATGACTCAAGAAAGATTAAATAGATTAGCAATTTTGAATATCGAGAATCACTTTCTATAAAGTCCTGATTATCATAAAATAAAAGATGCTTTTACTTAAAAAAAATATACAAAGAAATCTTAAATGAATTTTTGTATGTTTTTGTTTGTATAACCTTCTTAATTTAGTTTGACTATAACATTTATATAAGTTTTTGCAACATAAATTCTTTTATATATTAGGGCATTCATTTCATTTAATATTTTGCGCTCAGCTTTGATATTTTCTTAATTTTCTACCCTTTTCCAACCAAACATCTATGTAACATGTTTTCTACGGATTTCCAATTACATTCCTTTTGTTGGCATATTATTTACTATTTATTTACAGTTTTTCCGACCAAATGTACCCCAACCACAACTTTTGCTCAAATATCCGACCAAAACTCAATCAAAGTGTAGTGTTGTTTCTCTTATGAGCCTCGGCCAAGGGAGCTGAAAATCCACATTTTTAGAAAACATTACCACCGATGATTTAAACATTACTGACTTTCTCGAATATTATTACACACCTTCGCATAAGAAAAATAATTCCCTTAATTTTAATCAACTGTTATTAATTAGACAGCATGACTAAAAAATGTCATTTTCAGTGATAGGACTAATGAAATGGGAAAAAACTGTTGAGACTAGACGCAGTATATTCTTGACGCCACTGATAGAGCAATAATTAAATGAAATCTAAAGGATAAGACACAAACTGAACTAGGACTTCAATTTATAAAAATATTGTTTTCAACATATGAATCCGCCATCATTGACCATAAACACTGATCATCTGTCATCATCAAATCCTGGCAAGAATATTGAGAGCTGAACTCGTTGACAAAATTTAAAGGTGACAACAAGTTATAATTTCCTGATGGTGTAGTGGCATCAATGTCTGTTAGAAATGGCTCACTCCAGAAATTATCGACCAGTTCGTCATCATTGAATGTTAGTGGTGTAAAGTCACTAAAAACTGCACAATCTGAGTCACTCAACTGACACGATGATATTTCTGTGAGTGAAGAATATGATAGTGATTCAGATGATTCTCCAGCCAATAAAGTTGTTCCGACTTCCGGTTGATGTTTTAGATCTGTTTTGTTAACAGGTTTTCGTTTAGAGCTAGCCTGATCGTATTCTAGGGTTCCTAAGTGTTCATTTGAAGACTCAGTGTGTTCATTCTGAGCTCTCTTCTTCAAATGTGTGTTCCAACGATTTTTTATTTCATTGTCGCTTCTTCCTGGTAATTTTGCAGCTATTGTTGACCATCTGTGTATATATGAAAGATTAAAACAATTTAGAAACACCAATGCGAAAAGCTGCTAAATAACTTTGTTTAAATTATATACTTGTACTTACTTGTTTCCAAGCTTGTTATGTAAATCAATAACCAGATCGTCTTCTTCCTTTGTAAAGTTTCCGTGTTTAATGTTTGGGCGGAGATAGTTCATCCACCTCAACCTGCAACTTTTACCACTTCTAGACACACCTTAACAAAAGAAATGAAAGACAATAAGCAAGTGTCCAAATCCATACAATAAAAATTGATGACCTTGAATTAAAGAGACTCTAAATAGTTAATACCAATAAACTTGGGAAGTAAAGCCCAGTTCCAATGGCCATATCTCTGGATGTAAGCTCTTAGCTTGTTGTCTTCATCTTCACTCCATGCACCTTTCTTCAACCCATTGTTGTCGTAACATGATGACTTCACCATCTTTCTACTTTCCAACTCTATCTAGATCTATATATCTAAGATAGTTATTTAAAATAAAATTTATCTTGTTCCACTCGAACTATATAACCGTTAGGCCTTGCAAGTGACAACGTGCTGAAATAGAAATAACAGTCGTTTGTTTCCCAGAAAGTAAAAAAAAATTATTACCGAAGTACACACGAAAGTTCCTCCTTTTTTATTTATTTATTTATTCAAATGATGTAAGCACTCCAAACGTCATCTGCTTCGGTAAAATATTTTAGGATTCTTTTAAGGAAGAACAATATAGTAACATGCAATGCCTTAATTACTCGGTCAATGCTACTATTTAAAATAATGACTCCTTTTATATATATATATATATATATATATATATATATATATATATATATATATATATAAATATAAGTTTAATAGACAACCAATATGAATCAAAGAACCAAGGAACCCATCCTAACCATCTATTTTGTTTTAATCTTGGCCATTAATCCATAATTAACCAAAAAAAACACGGAGGGGCATTTTGGTAAGTTCAGCGTCTCATTTAACATCCTATTTGTCTCCGTTAGCGTCTTCTGATTTCAACGTCTTCTGTTACTGTCCTTCATCTTCTAACACTACACTGATCGATCCAAAATCTCGCTTGTTGTTCGAAATCTCAACCTTTTTCATCCAATTTACTAATACTTTCTTCAGAATTCAGCTAATAATCAGGTATTATCTTTCGTTTATGATTATTAGGTCAATTATGGACTTTGATTTTACCGTTTTTCTTCCAATGCATTGTTATTGTAATCGTCTGATTGTAAAATTCTCTTGATTTTACCGTTTAATTTTCAAATTGTTCTATTTTTATTGTTACTTTGCTAATTTTATGTCGTATGTTGAGTATACTGTTTTTCATTCGATTGTTTTTGTAATCATTCGTCTGTAATGCATATTCGACATTTAGATAATCAATTATATCTTGTGCATCTTCTGACAGTTAAGTTTTTTCCAAACTTTTAGTGATTTTGAGAATCTTATCTTATCTTGTGCATATATTTAAAATTTTTGTGATTATCTTGTTTATTTGTTTCCTTTTTTGTATAATTATCAATTCTAAATTTCTAATCTGTATATAAACTCCAGGTCATCGACGATTCATTATGAGTTCTGTGAATTCTTGTTCAGATTTGCATTCAACTATTAATGAACAATCATGTAAGTTTTCTTTTCTTAATATAAATTTCACATTTTATATATAATGTAATAAAATAGATGTTTTGTTTGGTTTTGCAGTTCATGATGAATCATCTTCAAGTATGAATATTGATCATTCAAATAGCAGTAATTCTTGTTATAGTTTTGATTTTGAGCTCTACAATACTGAAACTTTTAAGCTTGTTCCTTATGATAAGTTGATACATAAGAAGTCTTTCAAAGGATTGTTGTTTGATTCGTTGGACATTGGTCTTGACTTTTACAAGACTTATGGTAAAGAATCTGGTTTTGATGTGAATATGTCAAGTCAAAAAAGATACAATGATGGCACAATTCGTATTAGATATTCGACATGTAGTAGATCTGGTTTCACGGAGTCATTCAAGAATGAAAATATTCATGTGGAATTTTCAGATGTTAAGGGAAGGAGAACTTCTTCTAAGAAGAACGGGTGCCCTGCTGTTTCAAAGTTCAAGAATCTCCGATGTTCTTTAATGTTCTACATTTATGTGTTTGTTGAAGATCACAACCATGAACTTGTTGCTCAAGATCAGTTGCACTTATTAAGGATTAATAGGACAATGGATTTTCTTGATGAATCCTTTATACATAAGGTTGGTACTTGTAACATTGGTGCTTCAAAAGCTTATAACTTGGTGAGTAGTATGAAGGGTGGCTTTGATTCTAGTGGAGGTACTGCAGTTGACTTTAAAAATTTTCATAGAAATTTGAATTCTAAAATTGGTGTCAAAGATTCCCAAATGGTTGTGGATATATTGACAAATAGAAAATTGTGTTTCTCTAATTTTTCATTTGAGGTCCAAAAAGATGTTGATGATCATCTTACTGGACTTTTTTGGGCTGATGATACTTCGAAAGCTAACTATAAGGAATTTGGAGATGTAGTATCTTTTGATGCTACTTATCAGACAAACAAGTAATTCCTAATCCTTATTTGTTCTTTTTATGGTATCTGTTCTTTTTAATAATACTTATCAAAAAAATTTCAGGTATTTTATGGTATTTGTTCTTTTTACTGGAGTTGACTACCACAAGCATTGTGTTACTTTTGCTGCTAGTTTACTAGCTCGTGAAACAGCAGATGCATATGTGTGGTTGCTTGAAGTGTTTCGTAAAGCATTTGTCAAGCCACCCATGATGAGTGTAACAGATCAGGATTCATCAATGAAGAAAGCTGTTAATTTTGTTTTTCCTGAATCGAACCATAGACTATGCATGTGGCACATCACTCAAAAACTTGAGGAAAAGGTATATTCTTTGTTTCTTGATTCCTATATATGTTTATAACCATATAGATCATAAAGCATATTGTGAATTCACAATGTAAATTTGCATATAATGAAAGGAACAAATCTAAATCATAAATCACACTGTGAATTCATAATGTTAAACAAATGTTATGTTACTATGAATTACATCAAATATTCAACATATGTAATGATTCTTATGTGTTTCTTTTTTTTATATTCCTATTGATGTTTATAACCATCCGGACTTCCAGAAGACATTTTTTGATATTATATGGAATCTTCAATGTTCTCCATAAGATTTTGAAAGTTCGTGGTCAACAATGTTAGATAAGTTTCATCTAAAAGAAAATGATTGGTTAAGGTTTGTTTTTAAAATAAGGGATTTATGGATTCCGGCTTTTATGAGAGATCTTGAACTTTCTGGTTTGATGCGAACTACTTCAAGATCAGAGAGTCTGAATTATGTTATCTCACATTTTTTGCATCATAAATCAAATTTGGTGAAGTTCATGATGTCGTTTGATAGTGCAATGGAGAAGCAAAGGCATCATCAATCTTTATTAGATTATCAGTCTACAACTACTACCCCCAAGCTAAGGACTCCTTTGGCTATTGAAAAGCATGCATCGAAAATTTATACACATAATATTTTCTTGGACATTCAGAAAGAGTTATACAAATCTGTGTTTTATTGTGTTCAAGAATCTGTAGTTATTGAAGATGAAAGCGAAGTTTATGTTTTGAGAGATAAGAAGAAAAAAAAGTTGATTGATAAAAATGTGAATGAGGATGAAGATTCTGATGATTTTTATCGAAATAGTCTTACTTCTCATTGTCCTAATACTCGTTACAAGGTATGTCTATTTGTCCTAATACAGTTTATTAAATATAAAATGTAGTTTAAAAATTTACACTGTGAATGTAGGATGTTTTGCTAATTCACAGTGTGAATTTTTATAGAGTTATAAATTTTTAGATTAGTATGGAATATGTATTTTTTTTTTGTGAATTTGATTTGAAGTACATATTTATATTATAGTATTATGATTTCTAATGTCATGTTGATTAATAATGTGAATCGATGTTAATTTGTATAATTTTTATCGAATTGTATGAGATAGAATTTCTTATTCACATATTAATTTGTTTATTAATGATAATTTTTGTAGGTTGTATTTAGTAGAAGGGGTGATAGCATTAGCATCAGTTGTAGCTGCATGCTTTTTATCCAGGAAGGATTGTTATGTCGTCATATGTTTTTCATATTAAATATGAAAGAGTATGATGAAATTCCATCAAATTTCATTTTGAGGAGATGGGGAAAATATATCATAGCTGATGGATTGTTGAGAAAAAAGAACTCATATCCTCATAAAGGCAGTAAAAATGAATGTTTGATTCAAGATGTGTATGCTATTCATCGTTTGTCCATTAACAAGATAGCAAATAATGAGGATGAGTTGGCTAAATATATAAAGAAACTTCAGGAGGTTGATAATGGTATTCCTTTATGTACCTCATCAAGGGCATCTTCGAATAGATCAGTTCACATTGAAAAAAATTATTGGAGCTGCAGTACCTGATGTTATCAACATTCATAATTCAGAGGGGATCAGAAACAAAGGATGGGCCAGTGGTAAAAGAATCAAGAGCACTAGAGAGAAAGTGATTGAGAAATCTAAAAAGGGTTCTAGGTTGTGCAGTTTACGTCATAAACCAAATCACAATGCTAGGAGTTGCATTTTGAGGTTAAAGAAGTCTGATTTAGAATCTGAGGTTACAGAAGGCTGATTGTTTCTAATTTTTTCTTTTTAAGACTACTAAAATAAGATTTGATTTTTGTAATGATCATTCAATGGTTAGAAATGTTGAAATATTGTTGTTAATTTTGATATTCATTGTTTTAGACTTTATTTCTAATAATATAATATATTTTTTTCAAATTTAGTGTTTTTGGTTAAAGATATTTTTTTATTGTTAGTTTTTTGAATATTTTCTAATAAAAATTTCATGCTAATGATTTAATTTATTTATATTATTGTTAATCTCATATATAAAATTTTCATGCTAAAGATTGTCTTAATGTAATTTAATTCACATTGTGAATCTCAACTATTAATTGTTCTAATGATCTTTATGTACCATAATTCACATTGTTAACCTCACATATAAAATATACATGTTATAATATGTACTGTAATTCACATTGTGAATCTGACATATTAAATTTTCACAAGGTTAACATATAAACAATGTAAAATTTCATATTTTTAATAAAACATGTAATTGTATAACATACATGTAGACATTCACATGAAAATATAAACATCTTTTAAGTATTTAGTAAAGTTCATTATATTTGATATAGAAACTAACATCAAATTGTAACATAACAAGCATGTATATGTTCTTAAAGAAATTAAAGTGCATCTAAACTTATACTAATTATGAATAGAAAACTAAGTTTTAAGTTTTACACTTCTTTTTCCAATCCTTGAAATAGTATATCCTTTCTCCCCTTTTTTCCCATCCCTTTTCGAGCAAATCTTTTATTTCTTCATTAGTCTTTTTTGCATAATAGCTGTTTGTGCAATGATTTTTGACCTGTATGTGTTTGTGTCACTCAATAGTATCTCTGTCAAATACTTAATGCGTAACTCGTTTAACACACTTTATTGTTGTTTTGATTCTTTTGACAACCCACATGTCCAATTTACTGTTTTATCTCCCATATATGACGCATGCAAAAAACTCCACAGTCAACATGATTATCCCTCGTGCGCCAATTCATGTTCACCCTTTCTGGTTCAACACCCTCCAAAGTTGAAGCTGATTTGTGATTGACCCTCATCAAGTACCTACTAAAAAGTATTTTCTGCAAAAAAGAAATTGTCATTTTCTATAATTATTATTTTATTTAGATTATTATTATATTAATACTTATATTTATAATGTAAATTTATTATTCTTACCAATTCATTAGGTGCATCACGATAAGCTCTAGGAAACTTTGCAACTGAATTCCTATTGTCAATGACATCAACCGCTGGTTCCTCTAAGTTTCTGCAGATGATGTAAAAGTGATTTTTTTGATGAACTGGGAAAAACACCTATTTAATAATTTAAATTGTTAAACTTTGTTTAAAATATGTAATATATTCAACAAAAAGAACAGTTTATTACCAAGTGAACTTTTTCAAATGTCAGAAGTTCTTTGTCCTTTTTCATTGCATCTTTGATATTTGACTCAAATTTATCAAATCTTTCATTGAAAGGGATATATTTGTCAATATGAACTGTCTCTGCAAAAAAAATTAAATATACATCAAACTTTAAAGAGTAAATTGTTAAATTCACAATAAGGTAAATTTTAAATTTAAAATTATTCACACTGTGAATTATAATGGGATTCACTGTGTGAATTTTATTTTCTGCAAAAAAAAAAATTAAGAGATTCACATTGTGAATCTGTGTGAATGTGAGACATACATCCAAGATTCACATTATTAATTTATACATTTAACAGCAAAAGAGTTTGAGGTTCACCAAGTGATGTACACATACACATATTGGGAATTTTTACAACTATTTTGTTCATAGTGAATACAAACAAAAGTGTTGATCAACTTTCAAAAAAAAATTAAGAGATTCACATTGTGAATCTGTGTGATTGTGAGACATAGATCCAAGATTCATATTGTGAATTTATGCATTTAATAGCAAAAGAGTTTGAGGTTCACCAAGTGATGTACACATACACATATTGAGAATTTTTACAACTATTTTTTTCATAGTGAATACAAACAAAAGAGTTGATCAACTTGCAAAAAAAATTTAAGAGATTCACATTGTGAATCTGTGTGAATGTGAGACATGGATCCAAGATTCACATTGTGAATTTATGCATTTAACAGCAAAAGAGTTTGAGGTTCACCAAGTGATGTACACATACACATGGTGAATTTGTACAACTATTTTGTTACTTATTCAGAACTATTGAAAATGTTATTTATTATATTATCAACATTAACTTACCACCATTGATGTATCAAAGAAATACCGATTCACTGTAGAATTTGATTTAAGCTTTTCTTCATAGTTCAAAATATCAGTCCAAGCATCAATGACATGTGCATGTACCCATAATCCTGCCTGCATTGTTTCAATCATTCCTCTTCCAAGCACATAACATCTCTTAGTCTGAAATACCTTCTCACTTAATTTGTAATCAAATAAAACAAAAAAGCAGTTAATAGAAAATTAATTTGTATTTGTATTTATATACTATTGTATTTAAATAAAAGATAACATGAATTATTACCTGCTATTACCAATTCTAGAAAAAATTCTATCTGATAATTTTACTTCATCTGGATCTACAAATTTTGATGCACAAACCTCTTTTTTATTATAAGGAGACGATAGCTTCAGTGATGGTTTTTTTAATCTTTTTCCTACTTCTCTTTTTTTGTCTTCATCATCTTCAATTCCCAAGATATTATTGTCACATTCTGTTTCTTCTGAATCATAACTTTCTCCTTCATCAAGTTTTTCATTTTTTATTTCTTTCTTCATGTGTTCATCTTCACTACTTTCATCTCCTTCCTGAAACTTTTGTGTGAGACCAAGACCAAGTCCAAGTGAAAAACTAGGCATTGATGATTTTCTAGTATTTTTTTTATTTTTTTTTTGTTGAGAGAAAAACTTGGAGACACACTTGAACAAAAGTTAGAACAAGTATAATGCGGAATAGTTAATCTCAAAGGATCTAAAAGCTCAACAATAATATAGTTAGATAGTTAGAGAGTTAGTTGCGGAAATGTAAAGGAATGGAAATGACAGCAATTGTTATATCAAGAAGACACTTAAGCTTATTCATAACAAGGAATGCATTCACTCCAAGTTAATAAGGAAGATCAAGCTTAGTGATTAAGTCTTAAAGACTTGCTCCGAAGAGGGATTATGATCAGCAGAATTATGATAAGATTTAAGTAAGAAGAGATGAGTGAAGAAAGATAGAGAGATAACTTCAGAATGTGTATTCAGATAGAATTCATAAGTTATCGGTTCCCCCGTATCGAATACAAAGAGAGTAAGTCTCTATTTATAGAGACTTAGAAACTACACTAGATTACAACTCTATAAGCAGTCGTGCAAGGCAAACTGGATAATAGAGTGTATTACATAAAAGACAAATAAAGTAATCTAGCTAAGTTGACTGCGGTAGCTGACTCCGGTTGCTGATGCGGTTGCTGATGAACAAGATTGACTCCGGGTGCTGAACCGTTGCGGTAGAAAGATGGTTGCGGTAGCTGAGTTCAAGAGGGTCACTTTTATGATTCAACAATTTCCCCCTAAGTGACCTCTTTAACTCCGGTTCAACTATCAAGTTTCAGGAACTTGATCAAAATCCACCAGAACTTCCTGACGTTTTCCAACCATGTGATTCTTCTTGTGATCTTGAACTTGACTTCTACGGTAGTATGCTTCGATCTTTCAATTGCGGTTCGGCAGATGTCAAGTTGTTTCTTGGTCAGGCGGTGCATGGCAGTCATAGGAATGAAATATTTGACGTTGTCAGTCTTCCTTTTGAATATGAATCCAAGTTCAGGGTAGTTTGTTGTGCCTAGAGATCTTTCTTGGAAGCCTTCGGTAGGCATTGGCACAGGTTCAAAAGGTGGGAGATCAAACTTCTTGAGGATGGTGGGGTAAATATCTGCATCTATCTTGGCAAAGTCACAGACCGTATCCCTCAGAAAAGAGTTGGCTTTTTCAAGCGTTGTCTGCATTTTAGGGTGCTTTTCTGACTTGTTTTGGAACACCCTGGCAATAAGGAAGATTTCTTCCGGATTCATACAAGGAAAGTCTGCCTGGGTGCGGATGTAGTCATGCTCCCTTCTGGTGAGGGTATACTGGATGTAGTCAGCCTTCATAAATTTCCTGACTTTGTAGTTCTTGACTGCGGATGGTCTGTCGTTAGACCATATGTTTTCAATGGAGGAGGCATGTTTAGCGTGAAAAGACTAAGTCTCTCAAACTCCATTGGCAGTCTCTTGTGATCTGGAAGGCTTTGGTCAAACTGCTCAAATACAGTGAAGTACTTGGCATTTGGAGAAATTGGTATATCCCAGTATCCATCAGCAGGGGGTTCAGCATAAGTGAGGTGCGGTCTGTAATCTTCGTCTAGGAGCCTGCGGTGCGGATTGATCCAAGAATTGATCAAGGACTCATCCATCATGGTGTCAAACCCGCATTCTCTCCAAATTAACTCTGCCAGCTTGGCTGCTTTCCAATCATGCTTCCTTTGAGCGGTGGTAGGGGAGTCTGTGGTGCTTGGAGAAGACATGTTTTCAGCCAAGTTCTTGAAGTGCGGAGGAGTCTCTGGCTTTTTGGGAGTATCTTTTGGAGGTGAAGTGTGAGGAGATGGAGTATGTTGAGATGGTTGCGGTGGTGTGGGAATTTTTTTAGTGATGATGGGGGGACTCTGATGAATAGAAGTATCAGAGTGATGGACTTCTTGTTCTTCATCACTTCCCCCTCTTGAGGGATGCAACCCCGGTGCTTCCTCAAGCCATTGCTTAAGTCCATCCACCTTGTTGAAGACTTCTTGGAACTGAGCTTTGAAAGCTTCTGCCAAATGTTGGTTGTTTGGAGTGGAGGAGCTGAAGAGCAACTTGTGGATTTCTTTGGTGAGCTGGAGGATCTCAGGGCCATGGAAGTTGGAGGAAAGGGATTTCTGCAGTCTGTTGATGGTTGCTTGAAGAACAGAGATAGTGGACTCATAAGCAGTATGAGTCTCATCTATCAATTTCTGAGACTGAGAAGCTTGATCCGCGATGGCCGCTTGAAGATCCGTTTTGATTGCGGTCACCTCAGTGATGAGGCGTTCCGCTGCAGCCATGAAGTCCTTGTGGTCAGCCTTGCGGTTATTGTCAAGGGACCGGATCCCCATCTCTACTTTGAGAGAGATTCGTTCAGTAGCCATACGTTCCCTTGTTTCCAGACGCTCTATTCTTTCAATCAGTGACTGCGGTCCTAGAGTGTCTTCAGGTTGCGGTTGAGTAGGTTGGACTGCAGCCAAGATCTGATCGATTTTGGCTTGAAGGCTCATGAACTCCTTCCGGGTGATAACATTCTTCTTCTTTTTCTTCTTCTCTTTAGGCTTGGAAGTCGAATGTTGAGAACCGCTGGACTCCTCTTCTTCAAACATCATGAGGTCATCATCAGAAGGGCTTGGCTTGTTTACTTCTTGGATGTCTTCATCATCAAGACCGAAGGTGGGAGCTGAACTAAGTTCGATTGCAAGTTCTTCGTCTTGTGATGGATTGACTGTAGGAGTGGGAGATGGAATGGGAGTTGGAGTAGGAGGAACTTTGGAGGTACCTACGGCTGCACCTGAAGCTTGAGCTTTTGAAATTGTTTCAGCCATCTGATCCATCCAGTTCTGAACTTTTTGAATGGTGGCTGCAGTACTGGCATTGCTGATGGCATTTGCCCAATATCTAGCCACGGACTGGATCTCCTGTTCTTTCTGTTGTTGCTGCTTGATTTGTTGTTCCTTGCGGCCTTGGAAAGCCCTTTGGAATGCAACATACTTCTTCTTGTCTGACTCAGTTACCGGATTGTACTGTAACCAAGAGTCATTGGATGCATCACCGTCAAATCCTTCAAAGCGCACCGAAGTGTCCTTCGGGTCCACGGATCCTTGCACATTTGTGCTCACCGTGCCTAAACCACCTGTAAAAGATGAAAGCAGAGTAGGATTTCCTGAGCTTCCTCGGTCTCCTTGACCCGTGGTCAAGTGTGGCCTCTGCTCAGTTCTGGCATGGGCGAAAGAAGTGCCCTGCGGGTGGGAAGGTGTTTGTAGTGTTTGGGTGACAGAAAGAAGGATGGAGCGCAACTCCTCTGGTGAAAAGAAATGCAGTCGGGAAGCCCTAGAGACCTTAGGGCGTGAACCAGTGTCGTCCTCTTGGGAGTGCACTGGGGGGGAGTCTCCACGTAGTTGAGAATCAGACTCACTTTCTGAGTCTGACTGGAAAATGATGGTGGTGTCGAATGGGTGTGCGGGCACCCTAAGGACTACTGGAGCCTGTTGAGAGGCTTCAACATCGGTCCGGTCACGCATATGGATAGTGGTATCGGTAGTTTTCCTTTTCTTGAGGATAGAAATCGGATGCCTATCCTCATCTGAATCACTACTAGATATGGTTGGGGCAGGTTTTGTTTTGCGTTTCTTGGTGGGTGCGGTTCGTTTAGGAGCATCCTTCTTGGGTGTTCTTTGTTTCTTGGTTGCCAACTGCTTTCTTCTTTGAGAAAGATTGGATAGTGTAGTGGAAGAGGGGACTGCGGTACCCTCAGGGATAATGGTTGCGGATGGAAGAGGCGGGGTAGGAGGGTATGGGGCAATACCCTCCGTAGCCTCAATGTGGTCTGAGACATCAGCAGTCTCAAGACCAAGAGAAGAAAGGATATGAGTAGGGAGTCTGCGGATCGGTCCAAATATCGTTTGATTAGAAGAAGGGTTGTACCTTTTAAGATCCTTAGTGACGAAAAAGTTGATGTCACTACCCATGTCTATTCCAGCATCCGCATGTAAGTCTGAGATACAAAGTGACCAGAACCGTGTAAATGTGAGCTCGGTTGGGTTCTCCCTTGGGTGCTCTTTGGGAATGTATTGGAGGAAGTCGCCCCAAAGGATTTGTCCATAGTTTACGTCGTGGCCTATGTAGATGCTCCATACCAATTCCAGTAGCTTCTGTCCCATGTTGTCGATGCCTCCGGTTCTGCCGGATAGGCAGCGGATGACAAAATGACACAAAAACTGCCATACCGCAGGCATCTGATTCTTTTTGAACTCACCAATCCCTCGAATTGGTTTCTGATACCCCATCTGGTAGAGTGCGGATGTAACGTCTGCCATTGAAGGTGAGAAAATCTTGATGGAAGGGTGAACCAGAAGATTAATGGCATTTAAGAACTTTTCTTTGGACAAGATGACCAAAGAATCGTTCATGAGATTGAGGTGAACTTCTTGGGGTTTTCCATTGGGCGATATACAGAGAACACACATTTGAATAGAGTAGAAACTGGAACAACGTCTGTAAATGCATCGAATGGACCAAATAGAGGGTGGTTCCTGAGAAACTTGATCATAAGCTTGATGGGAGCATTATATGAAGGATGATCTTCAAATATTGCTCTAAAATTACTTGAAGCGATTGTTGGAGAGTCGGAACCTGTTGGATTTACAGAACCTGAAGGCTTGGATTGCTTCTTTGATGCACCTGATTTCACCATTGTTGAAGATTTGAGAGAAGAAAACAGAGTTCTTGAAAGTTTTGAAGGTTTTGAGGAATTTGGGAGAAAGAATCGATATTCAGAAAACGTAAAGTATTTTTGGGGAAGAAGATGGGTTTATAAAGGAGGGTGAAAAAATGTTTAACCCTAGGTAAATGGTAAGGATAGGGTAAAACGTCGATTGGGGTTTTGGGGGGAATCTATGAATTTTGGATTAAATCTCAGCCACACATAATTAAAACGGGTTTGAAGAGATTTTGGGAGATTTCCAAAAGGGGTTTTGCATTTAATGTAAAGTCAGACGCATGTCAATACGTCAGGTGATCGTGGGGGTGATGGGAGAGGAAGTTGTAACGGAT